TTTGTACTTTAGTCTATGTAAAAATAGTTCAAACATTGAAAAACAGTTAAAAATTTCACGCACCAGTGTATGAAAGCAGAATTCGAAATCTCGAAGGATGAATATCTTCCCGTGATTCCCGAGTTAATAGTTTACCCGCCAAAATTTTCACGAGGCCGTGGGTGGCGACCGAGAGCGCGAGAACGCTAAATTTGAATAGGCAAGGTTGAGCGTGGGCAAGGGGTCATTAGTTTTAAACTTCAGCCTCCTAGACTCCGTGGTTATTAACTTACCCGTGAAAAACTTTCACAGGGCTGCACGTATTACCCGCGGGTAAGGGAAGGCTGAATTTGAATGGGCAAGGTTGAGGGTGGACAGGGAGTCGCTGCTTTAAAACTTCAGCCTCCTAGACTCAGAGGTTCCCGAGATATTAACTTACCCGTGAAAAACTTTCACGGGGCCGTACGTATTACACGCGGGTAAGGGGAAGCTGAATTTAAATTTGCGGGGTCACACGTGGGTGGAGAACGTTATCCTAAATTTTCAGCTTCCTAGCTTTTGTGGTTCCCGAGTTGAAAGTTGCGGACACACACACACACACAAACACACACAAACAACTCCGTAACAATATGCGTTTTGTACTGCTGTTACACAGCACAAAACGCATAATAAAAACTTATCGATACGGAAACAATCGGTGTTTGGCAAACCTCTGTAAATGAATTTCATGGGTTCCACCGCAAGCACCGTTGCAATGAGATCATCCGCACTATGCTGGCGACCGGAGACATACATCTGCGAATTGCGATTACCCACAATAAATACCAATCCATTCTGCAACGCACTCCTCTTCGCAAACAGCCAAAACACAAATGTAAAAAAACTCAGGAATTACGCTAAAGTTACAAAAATAACCGTAGAACAATGAAAAGTGATGAACGCAAACGACGTAATCTGATCAGCGATGAAATGGGGACTGTTTTTAGCGACTAATCCTGGGAGAGCGAGGGTACAAACAGATGAGGGATGGAGGAAAAAGTAAGGAAGACGGAGCCAAAATAAGACATTTTCAGATAAACAGTGGCGTTTTTACACATTACTTTCATTATATTATTTTTTATTTTATTTCCAAAGAATAGCGGCATTGAAAACTGGCATAGGACAGCGAACCGAACAGACATAACTAACTGGTGATTTTATATTCATGCTGCAGAAAATGCGTGAAAAAAAACCTCACCGGTCCTAGAAATCCCAGTAATCCGCTACGAACATAAGGTATTGGTCCAAGCGGTTTATCGTCGATTCCCAACGGTTCTACCTAAAATTAAAGAAATAAATGCACTGAAAATTCATAAGTATGCTTAAGGGAACAGAAGTATGTGCAATTAGTAAAATTACTATTACAATTGCATTACTCTAATGTATTTTATTTCAGCAAAATTAATAGTCTTGAAATGAAACACACAAAAAATGGGTAAAATAAATACTGACGAAAGAAAGCACAGCCATTTTTTTGATGCAAATTTCTCGATAGCTGGCCTAACAAGTCTTAATCGAACTTATGGAACACTGTCTTTGCAACAAAATACCAGATGCTTAAGATGACAAAGGAACAAACAAATTTATACCTTGAAAGTGCTAGCCGACAACCCGTCCAGACCCCAATATGCTGAGCCTGTACTGTGTGCATATAAACAGATTTCACCAATTTCGTCCGCTTTACATAACCTCGGTGGACCGGAAAGCTTCACAACAACAGCTACACCGCCTGGAACGACTTGGCCAGCATCCTGAAACTCGCATTCATTAATTCCTCAGCAGCATCGGCAACACTTCAAAAGACACTTCGAAAGTTCAAAAGCAAGCGCGATGAAGGCCTACCTGCAGTGTTAAAGATGTCAAGGAATTCTCCTGATCCACACGAACTACTAAATGACTCAAAGCAGACATCGAGAGAACACCGCGACCAGAATTCCGCAAACATTCATCGGTGGACGACGGCCTATAACATATGAATAGATGTACCAACCTGCGCACTAGCTGCACTGAGTATTGAAGCTTATAAAACAGAGCAATAATGAATGACGGCTATGTGAACACCTCCCAGAATATTCAGAGCAGAATGAGCGCACTGTGTAAGACCAATCAGAAAACAAATGACTGGCTAATAATGCGCGTAAGAAGGCAATAAAAATCACTGTCGACGCGCACCAGACGGGCCGGTGTGGCCATGCATTTTTGCACTATTCCATGCTAAACTTTCATGTCTTCGTATTGGACAGTTCTAAGGAGCTGAATTTGGAATGTTTTGGTCTTACATGAGAAAGGAACACTTCTTTAAAATTTCAGCTCCCTAGCGTTTTTCGTTCCCAAGATAGCGATTTTCTCGCCAAAATTTTTACATGCCCATACTTGAGACGTAAACGTGCATGACAACTGATATCACATTCCTGACGTCGCACTTGACTAGGGGATACACTGGCAAAATTTTAGCATCAAAGCTTGCGAGGTTGCTCAGTAGAAATACTCGGACAGACGAACACACAAACACACACACACGAGCATACATACACAGAAAAGATTGTCACAAAATGTGTTTTTGCTGCCTGTTGCAGCGCATTAGCGCTGTACCGTAAAAACGCATAATAATGGGTGGGTACAAAGACCCGGTGTGCAATACCTTCGCAGGGAAACTGTGCCGGTTTCGGAGGAGCCAGCACATGGACAAATAACATCGGGTCGCAGGCCACGCGACTGGAACACGGAAGTAAACTGATCGCAGGATGACAGTGACCATGGATTCGCACCATCGGCAACCAGAATCGAGCGCAGCGTGGACAAATTGATATCCTTATGGTCACGAGTCGCCAATAAACCCCAGTGTAAATCACGCGACTTTACCAAAGCTGTTTTGGCTGAAATTTTATTTCTTTGAAACAAATATTTCTTCGACGTGGAAAAAATTGAAAGCGGACAACTGCTGTCTCAGAAAGTACTGTATTACCTTGGTACCTGGTAACCATCAACATCCACGATGCAGGATTGATTTTCATCAACGAATACGGAATGAAGATCACCCGCTGACCAACATAGACACTCTAAAACACTTCCTTAAATTCAGATGTCAAGATTCTCTTCAACATACTCAAAGCACTTAACTTCCATTGTTTTTTATTGAATCCAAAAGTACGCATATCTGCCAATGTTTGTAAATAGTTTGCGAACTTTTTTTGCTTCGAAATTACTTTACGTAAGAAGAACAAAACTATACAAATTCTGAGACTAAAACAAAGATGTGCATGTCAATCATCGTCCCTACCTTTTATTTCGAACTTACTACCTTATTATTTCAGAATAACCAATGACCTTACTCCAAAACAGATGTATTGTAAAAAAAAGAACGAAGAGCGAGGTAATCGGAAACGGACAGCGAACTCACCATGTTCACAGAGCTCAAACATGTTAGGTCTGGGAAAATTATTGGAAATAAGTATAAAAAAACAAATCTTTGAAGAAAACACATCTTTAAAATTTCTGAAACCGTACAACACTACTTTTCTCCCAGTTCCTGTTTCTATGAAACATTTGCAGAAACTGACAAAATTCGTTTCGAGTTTTAATAAGTGCGATCCCCAACAAGCTTAGTCTT